GGGAGGGAGGGAGGGAGCGAGGGAGGGAGAGGGAGGGAGGGAGGGGAGGGAGGGAGGGAGGGAGGGAGGGAGGGAGGGAGGCAGGCAGACCGAGAGACCGAGACATAGTAGATGAAATACGGACAATCCAGGTGGAAAGACAAAAGTGGGACGGAGACAGGCAGCAACACGGAGACACAGCGACCTAGAGACGGAGTGATAAACAAGGACAAGAAATGTCAAGAACAGAAGAAGCATGATAAACTGACATGGATAAGCGGGTGTAGAGTCGTAGAGAATCAGAAATTTGTCTCCTTCAAGCCGAGCCCGCCTCCGGAAAGATGAAAATGGAGGCGCCCTGGTCCACGTCAAGAAACCCCATCTCATGCGCTCATCAGGTCCGTTCAGGCAGCGTGTCCGATGCATCACCCTCTGGCTGCCATCCGCCACGTGACACGGCATAAATTGATGACTCTTCTGAGGGGTACTTGCCGGAATCTCTGAAATATACTGATTGCTTGGCATATGAATATCGAAACTGCGATTTATTCCAAACTGGTATTGCACACAGCCATGCCTCTTGCAATGTCGACACGCATTGCCGAAAGGCTGCCATCTGGGACCTACCAGTTCCACAATTTACACGGTGCAGTGTCAGCAGCTCTGGGGAGGACGAGCCACCGGGACGAAGTCCAAGCGCGTGGACATTGACGACAGTGCGTACCAGACAATCAATAAAAATCAACCGTATTAGATGCTATTAGATGCGGTGTATGAGACTTTCGTGAGAGCTTGTCGACGCACTTCTCGTGGACGGCTGCTGGACTGCTAGACAGGATAGGGAATCTTGGTCAACATGCGCGAAAAGAAATCCCTCAGATTCTTCTTCCTCATTGCCAGGATTGCACCGTCATCATTGTGCTCAGGTTCGGACAGTGCGGGAAACCGAGTGATCTCATGCACCAGAATGATTAGCATGTATCAAATGTGCCGCCCGCTCTCCCCCTCGATCTTGTCTAACTACATACATACATAGATACATACATACATACATACATACATACATACATACATACATACATACATTAGGTACATACATATGTGTATATATATATACATATTAAAGGAAAAGGTCAATGTGTACATACATATCTGCATGCACGAAGGGCACATTTCATCTCAGCATACCTCTCTCACCGAGTGCTCTTGGGTCACCAGGCCTTCTATCTTCCCGCTCGATGGTGATTGTGCGGGTTCTTTTCATCGCCCAACCGACCACTGGGATCTTCATGATGGACGCCTTTGAAACCCACTTGAAGGATCGGGACCTAAGCCAGATGCACTCCAGTGTGCATCGGAATTAGCCAGTGCAGCACAAAAAAATTACAGCTGTGTCCAAAAACAATTCGCTGCAATACTGCCTCAGCATGTCTGAGCTTCGCACAGATGGTAGCAAGACAAGATGTCCATGAAGGACTGGTGGTTCGCGACATAAACCTGGCAAATTCACAAGGCCAGGGGCAGTGCAGCTTCAGTCGTGTTCCAATTCGTGCAAGGGTTGCCACCGCCTGATCTTTAGGCAACAAGTTCTCGCGCCCCTTCACCTCCCCATATGAAGCAGAGGACGGTTAGGTAACACAGTGTTTGCAGAATATATGCTGATGACCAGCGCTGCAGAAGGCACTTGAAGACCAGAGCTCTGAGCCTTCACACGGAAGAAAGGCCATGTCGTCATTTGACTCCACCTTGGCCGCAGTTGGTACGTTACCTTGCCCTGTGCAGTCGTACTCCCTGCGTCTTCGTGTCTTGCGAAATGCGAGCATGCCACGCGCAGATGACTCGGTCCACATACTTGCGCGCCACCGGATCCTTGCGCTTCACCGCCTGATCGGACACAGCGATGAGGACAAAACCGCAGGTGCATGTGGATGCCCATCTCACTCTGTGGCTTAGCCAAGGGCAGGAATTCCTGCACAGGAACACAAAGATATAACCCTGCAGTTTTTCCTTATCTCTTACTGTCCACTTTCACGTCCTGCTGCAATGGCCGGGACAACCCAGGCTGACAGGCAAAACATGGTCCACGTGAGCCTGGGCAAAACTTCGGTCTGCAAGGTCTGCAAACGCTAGCGACGTCAGCTCACACTGGCCCCACTTGTTCGGAGCCCCGCCCAATAGCCCGAAAGAAAGCCAGCACGGAATGGCCAGGCAGGCGCCTGGCCATGCACACTGCTGCTGCTACATGTCCGGGCAGTCAGATAAGCTCGGGCAGAGGGAATTGGCTACCGATGGCAGGCATAATATCCCTCAACTTGTCGACACAGAATCAAGCCTATCGAGGTTTGAGTCCACAGGCAATGTTTCAAGCAACACACCAGAAGCATTGATACCTGAACAAAGCTCGCGCGGCAAGACCGGTTCGGGCGCACGAACTGTTTGAGCTCTGTACCAGATCCTGAATCAAAGCGCCTTTCGAAGAGAAAAGAACACAAGCCGACCTTGAAAATCCAATGAAGCTAATCGAGTCCTGAACCTGCTCCCGCATCCAGCATATCTCTATGATGAAGATTTGAAGCCACTGGTTTACGGGGAGAAAATCCCACAGAGTGCTAGCGAAAGCGTCCTGCAGTCGCCGTCCTAGCGACGAGAGCCGCTGGCGGAGACCGTCCTAGTGCATGCAGATCAGACAGTGTGCAAACATAAAGCAAGACCAAGGTGATGCGAAGCTGGTGCCGGTGGACTTCTTGCGACCGCCATGCGTCACTCATATTGAGATATACTGGAAAACATATGCACAAAGGTGGGTCAGACTACCAAGCCAAGCACAGCAACCCTAATTCGCAAAGGGGTCCCTGGCCTTCCTAGACTAGACCTGGGGTTCAAGACTTCGCCCGAGGCCGAGACGCAGACTTCGATCCGTCGGCAGGGCAAAGGCGTGCGCCGCCTCGCGAGGTCGGGTTCAAAGGCAGTCGGGGGGGGGGCTCCTGAGCTCCTCCTTAAGTGCGGGCCTCTGTGCGGGCCCGAGAAGCAAAGCAGACCTTCCAGATTTGCGCGGACTCCTTCAAAAGACACCGGCCCGCTGATGCTAAGTTCCGAGCACATGCGCCGAGCAGAAGCGCAAGTACCGCTCGGGCACCCATTTTCAATATGCAGGTGAGTCGTCACTCAGGTCACTCAGGGCTATGACTATGAGGAAGCGGATGGGGCCAAAAAGCTCTTGTGACGGACTAGTGCCCAGTAATTCTCCTGCTTTGCTGAGGCGGGTCGAGGAGTCGAGTGCAAGACTTCCACACCTGTAAGGCCTTGGACTTTGAGGGCTTCGTATCACCAGGCCAGATCTTGCGGAACCACACTCATTTCAAGTTTGGCGGCAAGCACAATCCACAATCCAGGAAAGCCTGACATGCAGTCATTTCAACCGGAGGCCAGTGCTGACTATCCTCGGCGGCAAGGCTCATTCCACCACCTGCACCACAAATGCAGAGAGCAACATGCGTGCCAACATGCACCTGACACTCGGCACAGCCTCTTCGAGGAAGAATGGCGACTTGCAACCGGTCACTGCGTCCATCCGGTGTTGCGGATCCAGCCTGGGAGTGGGCTTGGATAGCATGTTGGAAACACGACTGAAGATGTGCAAATGCGCAGCAACCTGTAATGGGCACCTGGCCGCAGAAGACCTGACACGGGTAGAACTGCTACAAGATCTAGAAGCAGCTGTTTGAGAAAGCTCTCAGTGGCCTTGGAGCAAGGACAGAAAGGCTCCGTGCCGCGGCAGGACCTGGGGGCGACTTGAGGCGAAAAACACCCGCCCCGCCTGGTCTCGATGGGCGCTATTACAGTTCCGCGTCCTACCTGCATCCGCAACCGCCAGTCTGCAGCTGCTCATCTTCCACCACGCACACCCTGACACCCTGAAGCCCGTTCCTCGTGTCCTGACTTACGTACACATGTCCAAATATCTTCTAAGATCCGCGAACCACGCTCTCTCCCACCTGGCGTGACAGTGGCTGAAGCTCCTCTGACAGGCTTGCGAAAGACTCAATTCATTCAACTTCGTATCTGTTGGCTTCCAGTTGCAGCGACTTCTGCCAAAGATTCATGACAAGGAAGCAATGTGAGACCTCTTGGCTCTTGGGTTAGCCATCAAAAAATGTCACGTCTGTCATGTATCGTTACTGCCCTGCCTCACCCAACAAGCGTCTTTCCACACCCAAGCGGCCCTAGCGAATTCTGGCGCTTGCATGGCAAGGCAAGGTCCTCCACTCGCCGCACCGCCGCCTCCGAAGCCTTACCTGGCCAGTCCTCGGTTGTTTGAGACTTCCTGGACTCCATGGGCCCCACGGGGTCCCGGCTAAAAGCTCCATGGGCTTGGGACGACACCAGGCGATCGTCCTCTGTTGCAGCAAAGTCTTCGAGGTCGGGGTCTGAGGATGCCTCACAGATGGCAAAAAGCAAAAGAGGCTTGTGGAGCTTCCCAAGATGCATGCCACTGATCAGAAGCGAAATTAGACTTCGACTCAGACACCCTTTTTGCATGCGAGAAAGCAAAGGAAAGAGGCGAATAGCACCGTGAAGTCTCCTTGCCAAACCTCGGCTGACCTTCTACCCGCTAGCCTCTTTGAGGATGCGGACTGATTCAAGTGTAAACCCTAATTCGGGTTTCGTTGTTGAGGGAAATGAACAGCGACAGGAAGATACAACTTTAGTTTTCGATTGGAAGGTGAGCTTTGGGATCACTGATCAAGTGATTGCTTAGGCCTAGTCCGAGCATTTCCCTGAATCTGCAACATTTCTACAAAAGGCAGTACTGCGTGGAAGAGCGTCGTTTGCCCTGCAGGAGCTACTCTCCGTCCGCGGCCAAGCACACAGGATGTATATTGCAAGCACAAGCTTGGTTGGCAGGATTTCCTGATCCTAATCAGCACTCCATGTGCGATGTACAGCTTGCAGTCACGGTCCGGGCAGGCAAACGCCACGCTCCTCTCGTTCACACGGCGGATGCTGCCAAGGCGTTCCAGGAAAATCAGGCGTTCCGCATTATGTACGATTCCATCACTTGCTGCTTCATGAGCACGTCCTGAACAGCTGAAGGTTGGAGTTTTCCGGTGGGCACTCTGCAGCTGCCAGGCGCGCCTTGACGATGTATGCCAAGCTGGTCATGTCCGTGTCAGGGTCGTTGGTCCGGCCCCAGTTGCCGCCCGTCATCTCCACTCGCACCCTCTCATCCACAAAGTGGAACTTGCACCTCGACAACAACATGATGTAACGTGCAGGTGCCAGATCGGATGAAAGGTCGAAGGGACATCAGCACTAGTCATCGTCTGTAGCCGCTACCTCCTTCCAGACCGATGGGGTTCGAAGCAAACAGGCGCCTGGAGACGCATGTCTGGAAGACGAACCGGTTCTGCACCGCGGCGATGAACTCGCCCATGTCCTGGGCACTGCACTTGATCCTGAAGCCTCACACCCGGAGATGGCGAGTGGTGAATCCGGTGAGTATGCTGAGACGCAGCACTTCCTCATAAAACAAACTGGCTTCAAGACCCGGCTGCCGCTTTACCCCAAGGCATCGTCCCTTCCAAACTTGCCCAGGCATGGGGATTTGGGATCCGAAATAGGGGCTGGTTTTCGCATCCCAGTTCTGCGGAGGGTATGCGGCACTGCTGTGGTGCTTAAAACCTCCGATGCCACATCTGACCCGCTTGAATTCAAGGCATGCTTCGGACAAATCGACCGGGATCATCTGCACACCCTTTAAATTGGGCATGCTTTCCACAGCCATCCAAAGATTGCTCAGCAAATCCACGAGTACCTGACAAAATCACCATGCCGCGAGCCTACGTGAGTCGGCCCTTGCCGGGGTGGGAACCTACTTACCCAATATAGAGCCCTCAAGTATGGGGGTTAACAACCATGCTACCAGTGCCTCCACGAAACCCTTTTGGACTCCAGCCGTTTAGACAGACTTCACAATTCCAAAGCTCCGGAATCATGAAGGGGTGGAGTGTCATATAAATGCAGTACAGTGGTAATACAGGTCAAACCATCTTCTGTTGCTACTACATCTGCATAATCATCTTCTGGTGCTGCTGCTACCAGCACCACTCCTCCTCGATGATAATTTCTCACGTTTGTCATGGAGGCGGTACTAGGTCTGTGCAATGCAAGTGCACTGTCGGTGTGATGCGACAGTACGGCACCAGAGCACGGAGGTACTGTGTTTCCTGTCGTTGATAGCTTCGCAACACTCTAAGCATTGACAAGGCTTTAGATACACATGCTGATGATGGGCTAAGATGAAAAACAACTGCTTCGCTGAGATGTCCGAACAGCTTTGGCGAATGGACCATGCGCAGCAACGAAAGCTTCTCTCCCGTCAACCCAAAACAACAACCAGCACACCAAGCCCTTCAAACCGCTGAACACGCCGAAACCCCAACAAGCAGCGATCAGCACAACCCAAACCTTGAGATTCACTGAGCCTCCAGGAGGATGGTAAGGCCCACCAGGCTATTGGTCTTGGCATTGGCCACACACGCGGGCAGGAACTCTAGCACCAAGGCCCGCTCCTGTGGACCGAGGATGTGAGGTTTCTTGGGTGCTGGCTGCGAGGGAAGGGGGGTGCATTGCAAAGCTGACAATGATCTCAATTTGGCCACCTGCCAGGCCATGCCTGACAAGGCAAATTGACAACGGTGGCTGCGAGCACTGCAGCTTCCTGCTGCAAGGCTGCTTTAGTTGCCTTGATAGCGAAAGCTCTGACACCTAAGACATCTGGTCAAGCAGCACTTTCGATGGCACCATGAAGCACTGGCCAGGTCTTATGCAACCGTGAGCTTCCAAAGCTACAGCTGCACCGATCCTTGCCTTGCTATTCATGAATAATCATGGGCTCAAACAGCCGTGGCTTAGCGTGGTTAAGAATCTGGATGGCAAAGTCCGAGGTCAAGGGGTCCTCCAAACCATCACTGAGAAAGTGCTGCACGAGGAACGACTGTTCTCTTGCACCTTGCTCTGAGCACATTTTCTCGGAAGCAATTCTGATTGCAACCATGGCCGGAGCCATCACATGAGAAACGCTACAATGCAAGAACTTGCTCCTTCTCCTGCTCCTGCTCCCGCTCCGGCTCTGCCGCTGCTGCTGCTGCTGCTACTACTACTGCTGCTGCCACGACAGACTGCTGCGTACTGCCAGCAACTTACACATCAGCAACACTCCAGCTGCATCCGAGATTTGGATCCCCTCTGCATCTTGCGGCTCGAGTTGCCCAGGCTGTCCCAGGCTCGCCGCAGCTCCTTGTAGCCCTGGGAGTCCTGGTGAAGAGACGCTCTCAAGCTGAACGTGTCTCTTGGGTCTTGAAGTCCAAAACCCTTTAAAAATCCCAAAACCCTACACACTAAGCTCGAAACCAGGCGTGTTGCGTCCTGCACCCGGCTGAGACACGCCAGGCGGACCAGTACGAAGTCCTCGGCGGTCCGCTGCGGCAAACGTAGGGCCGCTGCCTTTGTCTGCACCAACAGTCATACATAGAAAACTTAAGCAAAGAAAGGCAACACAATCGTGTACAGCCCATTCACAGTCACAGTATAGGTAGGTCATGTACTTAGTACAAAACGGTTATATCCATATTGTCATACTTGCACATATACATATACATATATATACATATACATATACATACACACACATATACAAATACATATACATGTACATATACATGTACATAATACATTTAGATTTGCATGTACATGGTATATGTACATAGGTGAAGGGCCTTTCAGTCCTAAACGCTATAAGTATTTACTACTTGACTCTGCGTGTGCGTGTTCACATCCGTTTCCTCCGTTTACGTGTATGCACGGATATGCATCAAGAATACACATCTGCAAAAGACATGTCTAGCAAGCAAACACGAAAAAAACTGCCTTGGAAAGCAAAACAACTTGGGAAGAAACGACTGTGACAATAACATTCCCAAAGCCGCACGAAAGATCCTTTTAAGCCAAGGCCGTTTGCCCCAGAATCTTCAAGTGAACCAGCACTGAAGCCTACTCCAGGGGTCAACAGTCAGTTTGGCCTGCACAATACTACTTGATTGGAAACGTGCCTAATCCGGCACACCCCTCCCTGGCCGGC